GCGTTCGCCTGCTCCGAGCCTCGCCCCGAGCCTCGCCCCCTACCCAGTCTTCGGTCCTGAGGTCCTGGTTTGCTTTAAGGAGATGAGCACCTCAGTGCCTCCGCCCTGGGGAGTAACGACAGCGGAAGGACCTTGGGGGATTAGGAGGGGGAGAAGGGGAGCCGAGGGCCCAGCAGATTCCACCCTGGCCTCTGCAGAGAGACTGGTACCCATCCACCCCCATGCATCCCATTGGTCATTCTGCACGCGTCTCCTGGAGGGATGGGCTCTCTCTGCCACTCATCCGGAAAGGCCTGTGGCTGCACACCCTTACACACACACATACATCCACACGTTCTGCAGAGGTAGGGGAGGAGCGATCTTTGTTTTATATATATTTAACTCCACCACAAAGAAGATTCTTGGGTTTGCTTGCCTGAATATGTAGAAGAAATCTCTCCCTATGTTATGTTCTTCCCTTCCACGGAGACTCTGTTTCCTCAACTGTAAAATGGGGCTAATAGAGATATTTAATAGTTCAGTGTTTCCTCAAATTTAATTCACTTGGGACTCATCTTTACAAATTCTGGTCATATTTGTGCACCATTTTTTTTAACAAGTCTATCTGGTTTGATCTATTCAAATATGAGTAGCAAGAGGTATTGTGAAAACCTTTCCTGTTACTCATCCACCTAAAGCATCTAAGACAGAGGCCTTCTATTACCTGCTAGAGAAAAGATTGGCAAACCTCAGAGAGATGACCAAGACACATGAATAGACAACTCAGTAGACACTCTCCTTGATGCATCCCGGAAGACAGGGACAAAGCTAAGAGGGTGGCAACTGTCTCGAGATGCAACCGGGAGTTATCCAAGGCCCTGTCCATACCCTGCCTTTCTCTCTCCAATCCCTATCATCTGGGAATGAAGCACTGCACTGGACAATGAGCACCTTCAGTTGGCTGAGATGCTGTGCTAGAGGAAGCTGCTTACCATCTTGTCACTGGGTGTCCGGCTCAGAGTCTGACACCTAAGAGCCAAACAAATATTGGTTGAAGGAGTGAGTGGGTGAACAGGTGAGTGAACAAATATTTAAAAGCCAGCACCCATTTATCCCTACCCATGCCCAATATGTGTTCCAAGGCACTAAGCGTCAGGTACTGGTGTTGTCTTATTTAGTCCCAACGACAACCTTATGTAGATCCAGTAAGTCTCATTATGGATAAGGATAGCGCAGCGTGGAGTGATAAAGAGATACACCCACAGTCCCACTGTTGTGGAACGGTGGTTGGACGTTCCTAACTACAAAGCACCTGGATGACAAAGGGGCAAACCTGAGTAGTGACAGAAATCGGGTCCCATTATGACAATTTTGCCTGGAAGCAACCGAGCGGTAAGTCATTATGAGGTAGCATGTGGAGCGCCACCACTATAATAATAGAATGTCCTTCCCCTACATAGTAATTCAAAGGTAACCAGGAAAAAAATAGCCCTCACTTTTAAGGTTGACATGTTTGGGAAACTGGATGTGCCCGTCTATTATTAGTCCTTTAAGAGGCCCCGCCACCTCTCAGGGAGGCTTGGGGAAACATCCCAGGAGACGTTGCTGCTAAAGTAGATTTCCTTTGAACCCCTGATCTGGAAGCTCACAGCCCACATCCTGCCTTTTGAACGAAGTGCCCTGGATGACTTTGGTCTGTAACAACAAACAGAACCTCATGGAGCCTGGGCCGGGTGATGCAGGGACTGGTGGGCTGTGAAAAGCTGTCAGTTCCTGGAGGGGCCCAAGCCCAGGGTGGGGAAAGAGGTTCCCATTGGACCCAGTTCCTTGTAAGTCAGGAGGTCTCCAACGCCGCACCGTGGACACCCTTTTTAACTATCCCAGTGATATTTTTTTTTTCAATTCACATGTTTATATATTTAGAATTTTACCTAAATACCCAAACTCTAACTTCTCCAAGAAAAAGATAAAGATACAAGTAAATGGAGCCTTGCGTTCCTGAACTCGCCCATTCATTTGTTCTTTCATGAAATGGACGAACTATTAAATAAACCCGAGAGAAGCCTTTGCCCTTGGGGAGTTCCTCGTCTCATGGGGGAAGAGGGTAAGCCAAATAACCTAATCCACAGCAGACCTATACCCGGTGCTAAGGAGGTTCCTTCTGTAAAGAAAGTCGTAAAAAAAAATAAAGAATGACAGGAGCCATGGGAAAACCTTATGATGAGGGACATTAAAGCAAAGACTTGAACAAAGCCAAGGGGTGAACCAAAGGCCTGTTGGGGGGTAGAATGTTCTAGACAGAAACAGTAAACGCAAAGGAAGAGCCTGCTTGTCATGTTGAAAACACAGCAAGGCCTGTGTGGCTGGTGTGGACAGAGGTGAGAGCACTCCTAAGACCAGGTCAGGGCCTGGGGACGGGAGTTCGGGTTTCACTCTCGTGAAAGGAGGCCTTTGGGGGCGTTGAAAGCCGGGACGTGATCTGAAACAACTTGTGATTTTTAAAAGATTACCCTGCCGACGAGATGGAAAATAGATTGTAGGGGAGAAGGGGGAGCAGCAGAGAGAGAGAGAGAACAGAGGAGAGGACATTTGAGTCGATAAGGCAACAGGATGTGACATGGCACCACATGAAGCTGAAGGGCCGTGGCTCCCTAGAGGCTGACATGGGCCCTCCAGGTCACCAGAGCCCCCACCTCCCTGGTCCATTCTTCATGAAGGAGTGAACACTAACCTGAGACACAGGTTGCTGTGGCTGGGAATAAAGGCCAAGATCTCGTTAGTCCAGGCTTCCTGCTGATGATATGTTTTCAATTCCTGTGGCTTCAAAAAAAAAAAAAAATATTATCACAGAACTGAGTGGCTAAAAATAGCAGAAATGTATTGCTCAGCCGGGTGTGGTGGCGCACACCTGTCATCCCAGCGGCTCAGGAGGCTGAGGCAGGAGGATCGCGAGTTCAAAGCCAGCCCTCAGCAACTTAGTGAGGCCCCCAAGTAACTTAGCAAGATCCTGTCTCTAAATAAAATATTTAAAAAGACTGGGGATGGGGATACGGCTCAGTGGTTGAATGTCCCTGCGTCCCATCCCAAGTACAGAAAGAAAGAAAGAGGAAAGAAGAAAGAAATGAAGGAAGGAAAGAAAATGAAATATTTTGTTCATAGTTCTAGAGGGCAGAACCTCTAAATCAAGTGTCACCCAGCCCAGCTCCTTCTGAAGGCTTCAGAGGAGGATCCTTCCTGATCTCGCCCAGTTTCCGGTGGATGTCGCCTTCCTTGGCATCCTTGGCCTGTGGCCACATCGTCCTTCTTCCTCTGTCTTCTTATCAGCTCCTCCTGTGTGTGTCTGTCTGTCTGTCTTCTCTTCTTCTGTCTGTCTAATCTCCCATTTTTATCTCTTATCAGGACACAGACCATCCGACTAAGGGCTCACCCAGATAATCAGGGATGATCTCTTCATTGCAAGATCCTTAACTGAGTGATGTCCAGAAAGATCCTTTTTTCCAAACAAGATAACATTCAGAAGTTCCAGGAAGTAGAACACTTTGTGGGCAGCACTCTTCAAACCGCAGCGTCGCACAACCCCGGGCCAGTCACTCTCTCCTTCTGGGTCTCATTTTCCTTCCCTGTTCAATAGTGCAGGGATGGAGGGATTGACCCTCCAATTCTTTCAATTTAGGGCTGTGCTCTCCAGTGCAGTAGCCACTTGCCACGGGCGGCTGGTGAGCATTTGAAACCTGGCTGGTCTGAGTTGAACATAAGGATAGTCATATATGTGATCACCCTGAACTTCAAGCATGTAGGATGACAAAGAACATGAAATTTTAATGATGATTTTTATCTTCATTTGTTTTTATTTTTTTTAACGCAGCTACTAGAAAAATGCAAAATTGTCTACGTGGCTCACATTCTATTTCTTGGCACAGCACTGTTCTAAAGACGAGATTCAAATAGGAAGCAAATTAATTTCAAAATGGGTAAATAAGGCAAAGATCATCTCCATTCAGTAGACAAAGGGGGATGAAGGAGGGATGGGGTAGGGAAAGACGGTGGAATAAATCTGACCTAACTGTCCTAAGTACATATGTGAATATATCACAGTAAATCTCACCATCATGTATATCCACAAGAAAAGAGGGGGTGCTGACAGATGAGGGATCCGACGCATGGCCACTGGCCTCTGCATTTCACTGAAGTCGACACTGCTCCTGCTCTCTACCTACTAGAAAGGGCAGTTCCTTCTCTCTCTCTTCCTACCTCCATTCTTTCTTGCTTGATCAACTAAATGCATGTTCGTTTTGAATCATTAGTCCATTTAGTGAATGTCATCACGTGCTACATTTACAGTAGTTCATATTCTTTAAAAGCAGCTTATTTCAGAGGTTTACAAAATAATTTGCTGATACATGTTTATTACAGCTTCAGGATTTTATCCTTAATATAAAAGTGTTTCTTAAAAAAAAAAAAAAGCATCTCCATTTAATTTGACATCAGCCGTGGTAGCCTGAGAGGAGACTGCAGTATCAACATCCAAAGTTCCAACTCATTTGACTAATAAGTTAGTGCTTAGGGCTTTGGCTTGGGGTGAGTTGGTTCCTCTTCCTATGGCTGCTGGCTGCTTGGGCTTCCTCACAGCATGGCGACTCATTCCAAGAATCAGTGCCCAGGAAAGTGTAGCCCAGTCAAAGGGGGAAAATAAACCAAAAGAAACTGTCCCAGAGAATAACCAGACAGCAATTCCACCAGACAGTGACTTTGAAATAGTAGTCTTAAAGATGCTCAAGTAACTAAAGAAAGATGTGGATAAAACCAGAAAGCAATCCAAGAACAGGGTGGAAATACAGATAAAGAGATAAAAAAAAAACATTAAAGACAAAAAAGAAAGACATGTGAGAGCTCAAAATATAATAACTGAAATGATAAATCCACTAAGGGGATTCTAAGGCAGACTTGAGCAGGCAGAGGAAAGGATCCACAAATCTGAATACAAGACAATTGAAACCATGGAGTCTAAGGAACAGAAAGAAAAATGACTGAAGAAAACAGAGCCCAAGGGACCCGCAGGACCACATCAAGCAAACCAACATCACACACGTGGGAGTCTCTGAAAGAGAGGAATTATGAAGAGATAATTTGAAGAGATAATGGCCGAAACTTCCCCACTTTGATGAAAGACATGAATCTAAACATCCAGGAAGCCCAACAAACTCCAAGTAGGATGAACTCACCCAACTCTTCACCAACACACATGATAACCAAACTGTTGAAAGACAAAACAAACGATTGGGAAATCAGCGAGAGAGACAAGCAATTCATCACAGATCAGGGGATCAAGAGTTCTTCAGTGAGCCAGCGCGGTGGCACACACATGGAATCCCAGTGGCTGGGGAGGCTGAGGCACAAGGATCGTGAGTTCAAAGCCAGCCTCAGCAAAAGCGAGACGCTAAGCAACTCAGTGAGACTCTGTCTCTAAATAAAATACAAAATAGGGCTGGGGATGGGGCTCAGTGTTTGAGTGCCCCTGGGTTCAATCTCCCATGCCCTCCCAAAAAAGAAAAAAAAAAGAGTTCTTCAATGAGATTATTGGCAGATTTCTCATCAGAAACTTTGGAAGCCAGAAGAGAGTGAACTAATACAGTTACTGCATTAAAAGAAAAAAAATGTCACTCAAAAGTCCTGTCAGTGTCAAAAGTACCTTTCAGAAGTAAGAGGCATTAAGACCTTCCCAAATAAGCAAAAGTTGAAGGAGCTCCTCATCACTAGGTCTGCTCTGCAAGAAATGTTTTTAAAGAAGTCCAGAAAGTTGAAGTTAAAGAACACTGGATAATAACTTGAAGCAGCCATGAAGAAATAAAGGTTTCAGTAAACACAAATACATGAGCAATTATAAAAGCTAACATCATCATAAAATGGTTTCTAACCCCACTTTCTGTTTCCTACATGATTGAAGAAGACTAAGGCATTATAGAAAATTATCGGTTTATGCTTGGAACACACAATATATGCGGATATTTTTTTTTACATCAATAAAGGAGAGATGTAGGGTCAAGGAAGTAGAGGAGCAGTATTTTTTATGTTCCTGAAGTTAAGCTGGTATAAATTCAAGTCAGAATATTCTAATTTTAGGGTGTTAAATGTAACACCCATGGTAACCACCAAGAAAATTATTACCGAGTAGACACAAAAGAAAATGAGAAAGGAGTTAAAACATTTCGCTCTGAATAAATAAGATAAAATCAGCCAAATACAAAAGAAGAAAGAAATGCAGAAAATGAGCGGGGAAGATCCGGACGCTATAGAGAACAGGAGTGTGGTGACATGAGCAAATCCTTTAGCTTGGGCATGACTTGATGCTTTTCAATTATTACTTGGGACATAGATGGATTAAACTCTTCAATCAAAAGACAAAAAAAAAAAAGCAGAATGGGTGAAATGGAAACAAACACATGGTCCAACTCCATGCTATCTACAGTAGACTCACTACAGACTGAGGGACACAAATAGGTTGGAAAAGACAAGAAAAGTCTGGAAGGAGCATTTGCATCAATGTGCATAGCACAGAGCAGCCCAGGTACCCACTGAATGAATAAAATAGGTAAGCAAAGTGCGGGGTGTGGTATATACATACACTGGCAGGAATGATCGCGTGTCCTACCACTTGGATGCCTTTATTTTTTACTTTTAATTAGTTAATTTATTTATTTTTTGTACCAGGATTGACCCCAGGGGTGCTCAACCACTGAGCCACATCCCCAGCATTTTTTAAAAATTATTCTTTATTTAGAATCGGGGTCTTGCTGAGTGGCTTAGGGCCTTGCTCAGTTGCTGAGGCTGGCCTTGACCCATGCAATCTTCCTGCCTCCAGCCTCCTGAACTGCAGGGATGACAGGCATGCGCTACCGCATCCGGCCTGGATGACCTTGCAAGACATTCTATAAAGTGAAATTAGCCTGTCACAAAATGACAGATGCCACATGGTTCCACTGACGTGAGGCACCTACGGTAGTCAGGATCACAGAGACAGAAAGCAGCTGGTGGTGGTTGGGGACTGGAGATTAGAAGGAGTGAGGTTTTCAGTTTTGCAAGATGAAGAGTCCTGAAGTTGGGTGTTGGTGATGGTGGCCCAACAACATGCATGAACGACACACTTAAAACGGCTAGGATCGTAAGTTTTATGCATGTATGTTTTACCATAATAAAAAATGTGGGTAGGGGAAAAAACGAATATGGGTTGAAATGCTTAGAACAAACCAGATTCTGTGCTCATCACTTTTCATGTGTTCATATCCCCACTGTGTGATCCCTACCTTAGGTACAGATGAGGACTCGGGTGAGCAAAGACCCTAAATAACTTCCCCAAGGTTCTGTGTTGGAACCTGGTAGTTACCAGGACTTGAACCCAGAACTCCTAACTCACCTAGTGCAGCTAATATTTTTTTTTTTTTTTAGTTGTAGGTGGACACAATACCTTTATTTATTTATTTTTACGTGGTGCTGAGGATCAAACCCAGTGCCTCACATGTGCTAGGCAAGCGCTCCGCCACTGAGCCACGACTCCAACCCTGGCGCAGCTACTTTTTGACATTCCCTGAGAAACATATCCATGTCTGGGGAGGATGGGGACGTTCTTGCCTAGGAAAAGTCTACCAGAAAAGATCACCAGCTACCTTTTTGAAAAACCCTTCTTGTTGCAGTATGACATCAACAGGATAAGTAAGGTGCACTCGTTTTAAGCATACCACAGATGTTTTCACATATGGATACACCCATGTGTCTTCAACTAAGTAATGATACAGGAAAGTTCCAGATCCCCAGAAAACGCCTGCATACC